CTTTAAACAAGTGTAAAAATTTATACTTTTAAGATTTTACGATGCTTTACGACGGGTTGTGAGTATCCCAAATATTCATTTTTTTATGTCTTAATATCGAATTCTTTTTTCCAATTTAGATTTTTTTTCCAATTCTTCGTTTATGTGTCATTTTCCCTACAAAATAATTCAAAAAAGTTGTGGCCATGATTCAATTATATAAGGTTGTGTCGATATGGATTTTATAAAAGAGCTTTCGAAACATAAATATCTACATTAATGCTAAAAAAGCGTTTTCTCTTTTTAATTAACAAAAATACCAAGCCTTACGTTCAATACAGTTGCTCAAAATTTTCATTTTCCACCGCATATTAAAATTTTAATTCGAACTTTTATAAGAAAATTTTTTATTTTAAACGTAAATACTTTCGTTTTTGCTTTCTATTAATTTCTAATATTAAATTTTAATATTTTATGTATTGCAAAAAAAACACAAACTACAAAAGACACCAAAAACGCAAAAACTAAAAGCGCGTCAAGTGTTGTGACATATTTTAAATCTTCTTATAAGCAATAAAGCCAATAACTAAATATTTTAACAATTGGCAAATGTGAAAGGCACCAAGGAACCAAAAACATGCATGAATGTGAATAAAAATTTAACTTTGTTTTTTAAAAACAACTTTTTCGTAAATGAGTTTCGTTGCTAAAATATCTTCGAGGCGCAAGAATTTATCAAATAACGTGAAATATTATTTTTAAGTATTCTAGACACACACACACACACATACATACATACGTAAATACACTAGTGAAACACCTGTAAATAAATCATTATTGAACATATACGGTAAATAAAATTACAACAACTAATATGTAAGCAGTAAATAAAATGATTAACAACGAATAAGATTCGCCGTCAAAGAATGATTCAAGTTTTTCCTGCTCTAACGCTTGACAATACACACATGGGAGCAATCTGCTAACAACAACAACAACAACTATATATATCATATACACCATTCTAACAAAACGCAGTTAGCATTAAGTTACACACAAGCTTAGTTGCTGGCGCATGTAGCACTTGTAATATATGTATGTATATATATAATATATGTACATGCACAGTAACTAAATCACTTTATCTATATGTATATGTTGTATAGAGAAAAATTCTTTTATTTTAATTGTTTACTTCTTTTAGACGCTATTTGTAATCAAAAACTTAGTAACCTTTATATTATATATAACTGTAGGTACTACTTGTAGGCGTAGCTACTCCACACACTGTGTTTATATTAAATGGAATTTTTTACTACACTTTTTTGCGCCCAAACAATTTTAAATATTTTATTGTTAATTTTATTTTATTTGAATTTATATTAAATAGAAATTTAATTTTAAGCGCTGACATGGAAATTGTATGAGCCAAGAAATAATAAAATATATATACAAATTAATAAAAAAATAACATATATTTTACATACACACACACAAAGAGGACACCACTTCTGTTTAGCTCAAAGCGCCAGAAAAGGCGTCACACTTCACAAACTTGTGTGCTTACAAAAAAAAAAAATGTAATTAAAACTACAAAAAAAATATAAAAAAAACAACAAAAAAATACAAAAACACGTAACTAATTGGTTTATTCAGATAATTGTTTTATTACAAGCAATAACTGTTATCTACTATAAATATTACTCTGCTTTGTACAATTGTTTTAAATCACATTTTTGTAGTTGTTGTTTATTTCTACTATTTTTCGCTTTGTATTTTGTTTTATTTAATAACTTTTTTGTTTAACTCATAATAGGTACCTCTGTTAGCTTCTATAGTATTTCAATTCTGCTAGTTAATCACTACCTCTGCATACATACATACATACATATGTACATATATGACAAAAATTAATATAGTTATAAATGTAGTAGCAAATATTTTTCACTATCTTTTCCTGTTTTTCTTTTATTATAAATGTAAATACTTTCGATATCAACGGCACTACACTTCGGTAGCACTTCTACAAAATGTGTTTACTACTGCGCCAATTAATAAAAAATATACATATAATTTAATATAATTATCAACACAATTAATGAGTTCACGCCTGATTCTAACGGCACTAGATGACAATTTGTTATTAAAATAATTATAATATGGTGAGCAGCCCTACTAAGCCAATTTGTAATAAACTTCATGCAGTTTAAACACACTTATGGGCGTTTCGGTCAGCAACTTAATTGAGTCAATTAGTTAATTGTTTACATTAATACTTTTAATGGTGAAAATAAACACTAATTGTCTCAATTAAGTAACTCTCTGAAGCGCCTATTATAGCTTAATTCAATATATACAATTCTCTTCTCAGTTTTTTTTTACTGGAATGCTTGTGTGAGTAACTCAATTTAAGCAGTTTCACCACAGCCTGCTATATACCACACTATTTCTCTCTGCCTCGCTATCTCCCTTTCCCACTCTCTTTCCCTTTTTCTGCTTTTAAATATTCTATCTCACTATTTCCCCCTCTTTCTCCTTATTTCCCTCTTTCTCTTTTGCCCCTAACTCTCGCTCTCTCTTTGTTTCCCCTCACTCTTTCTATTTCCCTCCCTCTCTCTCAATCAACTCTATTTCCTTCCACCTTCTTCTTTCTCTCTTTCCCTCTCTTATTTACTTTCTCTTTCTGCTACACCATTTTCTCTCTATCACACTGCCTACTCTTTCTGCGTCTCACATTTACCCATTAATACTTCAATACGGCTTCAAGCATGTCGTACTTCTGCATATCTAAAGTATTGCCGATCATACGCCTTTTAAATATGGGCAGCGTACGTTCGGTCAAAATATCCAGTTCATCGACCAATTCTGCGGCGTTTTGACTTTTTGTAGATGTTGCTTGGTTCTGGGCGCTCTTCTGTCGCTGCTGCGCCACTTCACTTTGTTGTGCTCCGGTCCCGTCATCGCTTGCTACTGCATCTGTGTCCGAAGATTCCGATGAGGAGAGTTCTTGTATGGCCTCGGAGACTTTATCCAAATCTGGTAATTCACTCGCATTCGACACGAAGAAAGGCACGGAAAACGCGGACATGCAATACCCATAGACGCCAAATTGCCGTAATTGTTGGCGGAATATTGCTTCGGGATATAGGACACCAGGGTCCAATCCATAGTCGCGTATGAACTGTGCCAATGTGTCGTAATAGATTTGCATGAATTCATTGAAATGCGCATCGCGTAGCGGCTTCTCTGTGCAGGCGTAAAGATAGTGTACCAGATCCAAGACTGGCGGTGAGTAGCGCGAAATTTGAAAGTCAATCAGTTTGGCCTTGATGGCGGTGTTGCCTTGTTTATTGTTGGACTGCAATAATATAGTGGTGAATAAGATTTGAATGCTTTATGGGTAAATATACAATTTATTTTCTCTTTAGTTTGGGAAACATTTTGAAAGGCAGTGGATTATACGAATACAATTTGTTTTTGCTTTGAGAGATTTACTTATATTGCGCAAACTGGCTGCCAGCTTCCCGCGAATTTACCTCATGACTTTCGAATAACATAACATCACGGCGCGACAGTCACTTAAGCACTGGCCAGGCGCGGTGCTTGCTTCACTTATATTGCGCCAACTGGCTGCCAGCTTCCCGCGAATTTACTTCATGACTTTCGAATAACATAACATCACGACGCGAGAGTCAGCTAAGCAATGGCCAGGCACGGAAATTATGCGCGTTTCCCAAACTCTTCCTTCATAAAAAACAAACTTACATCAAAGTTGTAGAGTATGTTGTTATTCCAGAAATCGCCGTGACATATAACCGAGTAGGGCGCATACGCCGCGCCATCGACTGCATCCAAACAAATCCTATGAAAATGATCCTCAATTTTATGCAGTGCCAGCAGCACCTCACGCATCTCTGGCGTATCTTCATCGCTCAACTTCAAGTCTGCTTCGAGCAAGTGACGCGTGCGCCGCACGTATTTCTTGCCAAACTCCACTGACACTTTCTCCATGTCCGGCGTAAAGAGGTTATCATCCATTTGTGCGACCAACGCGGCAAAGCGCGCCGGCTGACGCGCTTGCAGTACAAACGACATAGCATGCAACTGCGCTAGAGCACGAAAGGCGCAGACCACCAAATCGTAGGTGGGTAGATTAGTGCGTGAGTTGACTGCAAAATCTACAGCGGTTAAATCCTCAAAAATTATAAACTCAGTGTCGTCCTTCAACGAAGCGTGTAACATTTGCGGCGCGGCACTAAACTGCGCGTGTGGCACGTGCAGCGCGTTAAACTCACTAAACACATTTGCGTACATAAACACTTCACGTGTGTACATGTCCTTGACGCGCATATGTGTGCGGCGCGCTGGGCTTGTTGGAGCGACCTTCAATACCGTATGCAAAGGCGCTGACTTCGTTGGCGCGCTTGTAGGCGTTAAACGTACTTTCAGCACGGAGCCAAAGGAATTTTCACCAGGTCCGCCTATGGGCTGCACAAACAATTCGAAATCGCCGATGGCGTTGCGATTGGCTAACTCACGGTAAGCGTCTAAAACTTGTGGTGAAAGTGTTTCACTTTGTTGTTCCGGCGACGCGGCGTCGGCGGGCATACTTTTTACCGAAATATTTTGCTTTGGTGTGCTTTCCAACATGCTTGCAGTGTTCACAAATACATTACGAAAACAAATGACGCAAAACAAATACAAACGTGTAATTTCACGCGCACACTTTCACTACGCGCTTATGTAAGTTAAGTAAGCTTTGAATTTTTGTTTTGATATTGGTCGCGCGCGCCTACGTTGATTACTCTTCCGCGTCGTCTGTGCCCTATTGACTGACTGATTGCTCCAACTAGCCGTCTGCAAGCTTTTATAGTAGTGAGTGAGCACTTATGGGCGCGCGCTCTACGTTCTACAGCGATTCAAGCGTACGTCGGCTATTTGCTCCGTTGCTCTCTGCTGCACTCAACAGCGCTCGCGCATCATAACGGTGACATTCACGTGCTTTTTACGGCGGAAATCGTTTTCACTGCTGTTATAGTTTTTGTGGCCGCCTCCCCCGTTGTTTCGTCAAAAACTTTTTTTCTAAACTAACGATCGCTACAGCGAGTCAATGAACCCGAACGCCAAATGTAAAATAGTAAGCTTTTACTTAGATAATTAGTCTTTGTTTATAATTCGTTCGCTATTTTCTGCATTCATACGTCAATATGTCTATATAATAGTGATGAGCGAAGTAGCGATTTTTTAGTTTCAGTGAAAAGAGTGATTTTTTATAGCTATTGCGATCGCTACTTTTCTTAATAACATAGATATTTTATGCAGTTCTAAGTTCGACGTTTTATATGATATATCTTTTTTAAAAAATTTGCATTTTGCATGAGTTTCACTTATTGCTTCGAAAAATTGCCACATTTCACTTCATTTTTTATTTATTCTAAAAGACATTTTCACAATATTTAATAAATTAAAAAAAAATCGAAATCAAAATATTGATTTTAAACAAGCGTTCAACGGAATTAAATAAAACGCAATACACATATATTCTCACAGTGAAAAAGTATTCAAAATCACAATTTCTACTTCTAACACCACAAAATTCACCACATGCAATTATTGTTCATAAGCTAGTGCCAATTGTAAATGTGATTCACAGTGAAATATTGGCATGAATCACTGATATTTTGGGCTAGCAATAGCATTGACTATAAGCGATTTTTTCAATCACAGTGATGAAAGCACCGGTGGTGAAGTATCGCTCATCACTACTATAGAATAGCACGTAGAGGTTCAAGGCTGTTCAAGTGAGCGCAGATAAGTGAATCGTTTGAGTGGTAAGTTTTGAAGGTTCATTAACCTGCTTGATTAGTAAGCTATTAGGTAAGTAGTTATAACTATCGTTAATATAATGCACTTCTTGAAACTATCATAATTCTTAACTATCGAACTATTTTATTAAACGGTATAAGTGTTTAACATCACGATTTGACGGGATTATTGCTAAAATAAGCTCATAATCGCTATTAAGCTCTTAAGTGGAAACATAACCTCCTTGTGTAATCCCAAAATTCAAACAAGAATTAAAATCGAAGCTGAATATACTTTTCAATGATCGATGAGGTAGCAATGAGAGGAAAGTTCAAACTTACTAAAGAACTTAGCCCTTTGGCAGATTTTTAAATTTAAAAAAACTTATGAACCATAACCTTAAAATTTGGCTAAGGTATTTAGGAAACTTAAAATAGCCATTACATTAAAATTTTCCATTATAGTCGATGGTAATGATTAGATGATCTAAATGACCAAATGGTCTCGTGTTCATAGGGCGATCAAAGTAAAATGTAAGACGTAAAGAAGTGTGTTTTCCTCTTCAGGCAAAGAAAAACCTCAAACTTCAAGTGAATCTATTTTTGACATGTTTTTATAAACTTTATGGGAAGTAATTCAGATAACATTGACATTTTTGTCAGGTCTTCAAAAGTGGTAAAGTGGTTATATAGGTGTATACGAGTAATATTGTATACAAAAAACCCTTTGGATGAGAGTCAGCTTTATAAATCAAAAAACATAAGCTTTTGATGTAAGAGATTTGATCGGAAATTGTGTCAAGTTCAGGTGATTGATGCACGAGTATATCTCTAACTATTCAGAAAATACTTTGTCAAGCGCTAAATAACGGGTTTTTCAATGGGTTACAAAAGGATACCGATAGGAAGAGCAAACGACGCCATATTTTTTCCGCTTTTTTGACATGTCCCCTTCAGTAAGGTTTGTCATTTCATCATGGAAAATGTGCCATCCAATCACGAGTCGAAATTATTAAAATCTACTACCGAAATTCGGAGTCAGTGGCCTCAACTTTAAGAGCGCTACATCCAACTTATGGTCGTCATAATCATCCTATCAGATCAACAATTGAGCGTCTAGTGGAAAAATTTGAATTTACAAGTACCAGATCAAATTGAGGCAAGAACTGAAGCCGCTTGACCCCCAAAATCGTCGTGTGTTTGTGAATTGGGCAGAGCAACACCTTGAAATTTATCCGGGTTTTCATCGAAAAATCATCTTTAGCGTTCGCTCCTGGCTCAATGGTTTCGGTTAATAAGTAAGTGTGCGTCACTGGTCAGGCAGCAATCCACACGTACTCCTCTGCATCCCAAAACAGCAATCGCTACCGCTTAATGATAATCGAATATTTTTGGTTCTAATCGGATGATTTGTACTTGGACAATATGTGCTTTGAACAGGAATCCGTCACAAGCCACACAGCGCATGTCAGAATCGGTTTATTAAAAAACCAAGTTTGATAAACGTGTTGTCTGACGAAATGCTTCCGACCGTTATATAAAACACCTTCAGTATTGCATAATACGAAAAATTATCTCAGATCCTTAAGGTTATACCAATTTGAACATTAAAAAAATTTTTTTTTTTATGTAGAAAGAGAGAAAAAAGAGAAATAAAAAAAGTTCACGGGCATTTTTGAGAAAATTTTTCTTTGCTTAGCATGCAATACGGGATTTTAGTTGTCCTTAAGAGACTTGTAAACTACTATTAACACCACAGTTAGTTGTCAAATTCTATCAGAAGCCTGTCAAAACAACTGTCAAACATTTTAGAAGCATTTTTAGCACCTTTTAAGTACAATCAATATCACATATATTTGTATATATATGCAGATAAAGGCATCGTAAAGTTTATTAACAATTTTATTGTTGAATTGAGCAATTTGCCAATGCAATAAATATTACTTACAAAAGCTTAAAATACAAATATACACTATAAGTTTTTGCCGGTGCAGGTGCAAACTTGTTTCATTGCTGTGCGTACAGAAAGAATCCCCCAATAGATAAACACATAGCTATTTACAAATTTATCTATGCATTTAGTTGTGTATGTGTGCGTGTGCTCACGGCTACTAAATAATGCAACCATAGCGAATTCGCGGTCAATGTTCTGGCTGAAGGCCGTTTCTAACGCCAAACCGCGCGGTCAACGCACACACTGCTGAATAGCATGCATTATGCACATAACTGTCTGTTTGCATGCACACATATTTATGTATGCACGCTGTTAATTAGTCAGCCAATAGTTGTGAAGTGCAAAAGCTTTTTTAGACACAAACATACCTACATATGTATGCATATGTGTCTGTATGTGAACGGCATGCACTTGGAAAAACTTGCGGTAAAGGTAAGGCAAAAGAACAAGGGAAGTTGGTGGACGGCCGGTGTTTGCCCACACCACTGTCACGGCAACTACAGCCAAGATTGTGTTTACCATTTCTATCCGGATATGACTGCATTTAATGCCGCTGATATATGATATATTTATTTAATTTTTTATATATGTTATATATGTTACTATGCAGACAGACATATTTAAAGGCATATTATGCAAGTAAATTCAATTCAGAATATTCTGATATGGAAAAGTAGGCTGTTTTTCCGGAATTTTTTCCTCGGTAAGTATGATATGTACGAGGGTTGCTTTTTATATCGCGGGATTCGAGCCAACACAAATATCAATCAGGACTTACTTACTATGTCAACCAGTTTGTTGACAGCAGCTGCTTACGTCGGTACACGTCAGTGGTGTGTTGCGTTGTCAAGAAACGTTGAACTCTTAGTTTATTTTTTACAAATGGTGCCAACTCAGCATTATACGGCGGATGACTGCACAAATCGTTGTTTTGAGTGAAAACAAAATGTAGTTGCTTGAGTCGATAGTTGTATGCTTAGTTAAACAAGAACAAGAAATGATTTTGGTCCTCTTTTGTGAAATTCGTCTTGAAGTGACCTACAATTTTGATCGAATTCACCACTCCATCGATAAACACAGGTCTTTGATGGAATTTGAAAAGTTCATCGAAGCACTGTTGCTCAGTTAATCAACGGCGAAAGTTTAAAGAATAAAACGAGATTTAAATCCATTTTTTGGCCGAAATGAATACTTTATGTTACTGTAAAGAACAGAAATAGTGCTCGTATGTGCGTATTTCAAAACTTTCTGAGTATGTATAGCATAAAAATGCTCAAACTTTACGACCAAGTTCTGAGTATGCAGATTGCAACACCAAATCCCAAAATATAGTATAAAAGGCAAACGTAAATGAAATGATGTAATTTTTACACAGTTGTTCGGAAAGTTTATTGAAGCTTTACATTATTTTTTGGTGTTCCAAATAAAGCGGGATAGGAGCAAGGAAGGAAGGAAGGTACCGAACAATAGAGGCAAACGCATCTTCATGTTGGAAGCGCAGGCTGGGTACTAGAACGAAGTAGAAAATATGAAACATTTTAATGCAAAAAATATGAGCTTTTGAAATTTTTTTATATTCCGCAATATTATCAGACCGAAGCGCGCTTGATAATACATGAGTACGAGTCTACAAATACGTTGTATGTATGTGAATAATAGTAGCGATTGTAGTGTAACATTATCTGGATTGCTATCTGGAAATTTGACGATAAGCACTTTTCAACTTCAATTCACTGAGCACTACGGAAATTCCTAGTATTAGTAAACAAAAAAATGTTATAAATATTTGACTCCAAGGCCGGTTATTGACTTAGCTGCTGTGATGTTTGGAATTTCACAATCTTTTTAGTCTCGAAAATGTTAATATAATGTGACGCTGCATGTTAATTGCATTGATGATTAGTTTCCGCATGTGTTTGGATAATGTCTATATGTATATATGTATATTATGTATATGTATATGTATATATGTAGGTATATTTAGAAATTACATTAGGTTGATTCGAAAAGCTGAAGACTTAACCTTTCGAAACCAGACAATAAAAAATATTTTTGTTGTTGTTGTTGCTGTCGTAACGGTTGGGGAAAGTCTAAGCTCAGTGATATACCCGATATACTTATACCCAGAATAAATTGTTTTGGTTGTTGTTGTTGTAACGGTTAGTGCAAATGTTAAATCTGCGCTGGCGTGAGCGAATTAACCATGTTTACATGACCCAAATGTTTAACCGAAATACACCCGGAATAAATTTTTACCAAGAACTACGCGCTCAGAGATTACTGAATTTATTCGATCCAAATCAAATAGTCTAAGCCTGTTTAAACTCTTTACTGCTACTATTCATATAAACTTGCTCGACATAAATGTAAATAGATCAGACTACCTCCTCCCAGGATTGAATTGCAATATCAACTTCACTTGTCGACAATTTGGGTTTCCGGACATAGAAACACTTTCGGCAGCGAAAAGGCAGACGAGTTGGCCAAGTCACGAGCCACTGTAGACGAGTCTAAGGCGAAGACAATACTGAACGATCAAGAGGAAGCTAAATACGCAATTTGAACAAACTGCTCAGAACAAATGTAATTTTACAACCAAATATAAGACAGCGAAACAGATATGGCCAAAAATAATATAACAAGACGAGAACCAAGGACTTATTAAGTAGCTCCAGGCAAGGTATATATAGACTTACGGCCACTGAGACATCGGTCTTTGGAGTACATGCATTAGAAATGGGAGTATCCTTTAACAATATTTGCTCCAGCTACAAACTGGAGGGGAGTAAGGTAACTGCTCTACACTTCCACTGTGAGAACCAGCTCTATCTATCGCAAACCCGACGTCGAACTCTTGGAAACCATCCGGTACAAAGCCTATAAAATAGCGTAGATCAGTGGTTTCATTGAAGACACTTTAAATGAATCAATATACAAATTTTATACAGACACAATTAAATTTTTTGAGAAACTGAAAAAAAACATCCAGTCGAGTAGTTAGGGTGTTGACCAATTTTTGGTTTTCCGCTAAAAATTTCTGCAATTCTAATAAATTGGTTCACACTCATATAGGCCTCGACATACATATTTATGTGAGTACTGCGTATTACTCATACGTCACGGTGTTCGATTACATTTGCTGGCCTCCGCTTGGTTGATAAGCTTAATAGACATAAATTTGATTTGAAACCCAATTATTTGGGTCAGCCGGGTATGCAATGCTTTCTTGTGTTTATTAAAACATATTTACATAATTTTTGAAAATAATTTAATCTGCTGGTAGAATTTATGTACGGAAGTATTCGATAACGCAATAGCCTAGATTTTTTCAGCAAATATTTAGAGAAGTAGTGCGCATGTATGCATTTGCGGGGGTTTCGTTACTTTAGTGAGGAGCTTGCGTATTGGTTTGTCTTTTCAAAATTATTTAAAAAGGGCGTAAATATTAAAACAAAAAACAAAGGGTTTAGGAACTAATGCTAAACGTAGTCAGAAAAGCTGCTAATGAATGTCGCTTCCCCCATATTTAGGTAAGCTATGTATTTTAATGCGTTGACTTACCAGTTACTTTAATTAACGTTTAGATATTTTCAATTTGGTTGCTGTAACGAAAAAAAAATAAAGAAATATTAATTTTTATATAACTGTAAAATGGAAGTTATCGACAAATAATAAAATATAAATACTAATGGGCCTCTGCTCTAAGGAGCCAGTCCATAACATTCTTGTGAATATTCAAGCAGCAATTAAGGCTATCCGTAGCGCCAATAAAAGAAAAAAAACAGACAAGCTGGCCCGCTCGGAGGCAGCAGAGGTCATAATTTCCCTAACCTGCGCCAGGCCATTCACCTTTTTCCAAGATTGTTAGCAGCAACGGACCTTAGAGGAACTCCTCAGTTGTTGGAACGCAAACGACTCATGGCTTACCACAAAGTTACTTTGGGATAGTGCTGATGGTGGACGGAACAAAATTCTCCTACTTAAAGGTAAAAGGGAGCTTAGTAAAATTTTAGTGGCCTTCATTGATCTTCAGAAAATGGTAGAAGAGGATTTGGCAGATTGCCGAGCTTGCGCGGAATATCATGAGACGTAGGCACATTATCTAGGCGAAGCCTTCAGCCGGATGAGACGTTACACGGCTTGCAATGTTTTGCCAATTTAAGAGACATTGGACAGCTGAGGCGGAGAAATCGCCAAATCCACTGAATTGCTGGATAGGGGTTAATTTGGTTTCCACCCGGCACACGGCATGGCGCTTATGCGTCTTCTACTTTTGGAAAGTATACAAATGCAGATAAAATGTATCGACCTCCGTCGAAAATTAGTGAGAGAGAGAGAGAGAGAGAGAGAGCCAGGGAGATGGAGTTAAAGTATTATATTGGAGAACATTCTCCAAAAATGTGAAGCTAGTCCGAATAATAGTTTCACTTATGCGTCTTCTACTTTTGGAAAGTATACAAATGCAGATAAAATGTATCGACCTCTGTCGAAAATTAGTGAGAGAGAGAGAGAGAGAGAGAGAGAGAGCCAGGGAGATGGAGTTAAAGTATTATATTGGAGAACATTCTCCAAAAATTTGAAGCTAGTCCGAATAATAGTTTCGAAGATATGACGTTTTTTTCATAGTGAAACGGAAAGCTGAAACAGAAGTATCGATCGATTTGAAATTTTGACCCTACCTTCAAAGATATAGTTACCAGGTAATACTCGAGGGAATGATAATTTCGCTCTGAGTGTAATTTTTTTCACAAAAAATGATGTTTAAATTAAATATGGACTTGCAAGTGGTTATGACCTGTCAAGTTGTAATGAGTGCAAGCCGGGATTATTATATAAATGTAACAAAACTATATCCATCAAAGCTTTTAAAAACCTATGCTAGCAACGAACTAAGTTGAGCACCTATAACTCCGTTATACTATATAAAGTAGGCCGATATATTGAAATCACAAAAAATATTTTCCTTACAATTCATACTTCCGTACTTTTACTTTAAGTTGAAGAATTTTTAGTGCAAAATTCATTATTGATTAAAATTATAAAAGCATTTGATAAAAATCCCAGTTTTATCATAAGAAACGCTAATGTTGAAGGCGAGCACTTCACGAGAAACTGCGCACCAGGCCGAGGTTCAAGCGCCAAATTCGCGTAATGAGAACAACAACAACAGCGTACCGTTGGGCAAGGAAGTAGAGAAGGATAGCATGCAGAGACAAAGCAGTAGTCGTAAATATGATCGACACGATGCTGGTCACTATGCGGACAATATGTCGGGAGCTGAAAGTGACGAAAGTACCGATCGCAAAATGACAACAACGCGAAAATCGCGTAGAATTCAGGTTAATAAAAATATGCCTTTCTTTTGTAGTTTCGAAAATAAATAAATTTATTGTTTTTAGCCAACCGATGCGCACGACTATGACGGCGGCGTATCGGATTGCAGCCACTGTCGAAAGCATCGTATGGCGCGGGCGCGACGCAATCGTCGCAGGAAGTCACGTTCGCGCAGTCGTCGTCGCCGTCGTTAGATTTTTATTGTGCAGTTTGATTTTGGTGAAATTTTCTGTGTGGGACTTTTGACCTAAATTGATTTTATGGAAATTTATTATGCGAAATAAAATGATAGTGAGTTAAATACATGTCTGATAAAACATAAATTATTAGTACCGTTATGGAAATTGTGTTTTAGGGGCAACAAGGTGATATATGGAGCTATTTAAGAGCTGGTTCAACGTTATTGGAATTAGCCTAGGGGTTTTATAGATCCGGATCAGTCACGTTTAGGTAGACTTGATACTCGTAAGAACCCATTTGTTTCTACGAACGGAGTGCCTCACTCTTTTGAATGGTAAAAATTAGGTGTTAACTAAAGTTGGAAATAAGAAAGTAATGTTTCGGTGAAGTCAGATAGTTGAATGTTACCAGTCCTTGGCCGGATAATTCGAGCCCTTTTCAGTTACTTAGAACCGACTGTTATGGGAACGTCTAAACAACAGTCGTATAATCGGTACTTCAGATTAAGTATTAAACCAGGCTCTGTGAACTTGTATTAAGCCCATCTAACCACATCACAGAAATCCGGACAGGATTGGTAAAAGCACCTCAGTTCCATTACTAGCGACCTTGGAGGAAATGCTTCAACATTTTTTACATTGTGGCAAGAGGGTCGAGTTGAAAATTTGAGGTCAGATAAAAATTTGGGACCGTTTAAGTTACGCTGTTGTTGTTATAACTAATATCTAGCCCCTGTTTGGAAAAAAGTAACACTAAAAGCCACTTGACGGTATTTCCAAGCCAGCCTCGGTCTTTGTCCAAGTCAACTTTTTCCTCTGGTGTTCTATGCAAATCAAGTCATCAGGAGAGGAGACTGTAGAAGAATCTCTTTCTTAGCTAGACGCCTGCTCGCTCCATCAAGGCTTGCTCTAGAAACTAATACAGTTGCCAAGCTGTGGTGGTGCCAGCAGCGACGTCCTTTGGCCAAACGACGCTAGGAGGATATAGCTACGAGGGTTTTCGCCGATCACTGTGTAATAAATATTAAAATATATACAAATTGCTGGAATTTAATTTTATTTTGTATTCAATTCATTGTCTGTAAAAGGTCCAGTATTTAATTATGTCTAATAATATTACATTTAAGATTAGGTAAATAAATGGAACTTCCAATTTCAGTTTCCGAACACACTACCATTGCAAATACTAATTGCTAGTCACAACTAAAAGATTATACACACAAATTAATCAAGGCGAAAGCACACAAATGGTCGGTGGAAATTAACGCAATCTATTCCTTCTTCTTCTCGTTTAACTGCCGCATTTCAAATATTTCGATAACGCTTTACAACCAGCTTGCATATCTCCACAAACCATGTGCATGTGTGGAGAGTGAAAAGAAAAAAAAAAAAAAAAAGTGAAGTACAAAGTAATGGAAAATGAAATAATTATATTAAAATAATTATATTAAAATAATTATATTAAAATTATAGGAAAAATAAGTTAATTGGAATAGAGGAAAGTCAAATGCGCATTGAATGTAGTTGAGAGCCATTCACGCAGACACACACACATACATTTAAACATTGTTCAAGTTTTCCCCATTACACACTATTCGTTCGAATCGGCAGTGATCGATTTCTCTTCCGAAGTCTTTGAGGATGAGTCTGTTGAATGTGCAATATCAACAATATCCACATTATCGCCCACAGAAGCCGTATTGGCCGCCTCCACCACCGAGTAACCGATATCGGGTGGTGTGCCCTCTGGATAGCCTAAATAATAGTCTGCTATGCGACCAGCCTCACGCAAACCACTCAAGAAGGCACCATGTACTGTGGCGGGGTAGTTGCGTATGGTATGCTCGCCGGCAAAGAACAAACGTGGCAGTTCATCTTGCTCTTGATTGATATTGGTGTTGGTTGGATTCGGTGGTATAACGGGTGAAGCGAGTAGATCATAATCGCTACCTGAGGAACCTACAGATACGAAGCTGTACGAGCCACGTGCCCAGGGATCGGCACGCCAACGTGTCACGACAGTCTCTTTGGGTTGCGGCACCGAACCATTGCCGAATATGCCTTTTAGTACCGCAATACAACGACCGACGATAACATCATCCGATACGTTCTCCATTATAGCCGCCGATTGCCCGGCTACTAATGCAAGTAACACTGGCGATTGCGAGATGCTCCAGAATAGAAATAGTTCACCTAGTAAAAGCATAATTTTTTATTAACATTTTTTTTTTATTATTATATTGACAGTTATAAAGCAGTTACCGCGACTAGCTGTTGTGCTGCCCACATGGCCAAATAGATTTGTGTTTGGATCCCAAAAGATGCGATCAAAGCAAAGCACTACTTTATTTAGATTACCGAAACCCAAGCGCTGTATGGCCGATTGCTTCCAGTCGGGTAGCGGTGGCTCAAATTTAACAGTGTTCGCTTGTTGAGATTGCACTTTTGTGGTGGCTATTTTAAGTACACCCAGCGTCAGTGTGCAGAGCGCAATGTCTGCTTTGTATGTAACCGAAGAATTGTTTGTCTTCAAGTTTTCGGTTACGATTTCCACACCAGTGGGGAAATATTTAATCGTTTTTACTGCGGTATTTACGCGTATGTCTAAACCTTCCGTTAAGGCAATGGGTACACAAGAGTAGCCATTGCGCACAGTCGTATGATTGCCGATGAATTCAAAGTCATCGTCCTGATCCCAATGCTTCAGTGAGAGATTGCTTAGTGGCGTGGCATTGGCGAACTCCAGATTCGCAAAGTGCCAATCAAGTATTTGACGATCCTTAGATGAGAGATAAACGTCACTGCAAAAAAAAATTGGTTTGCTTTTTATTGAAAAGTTATATGAAAGACTGCAGCACGCACCTCGGAGGATTGCTTGCAATTTCTTTTAGTTTGGCTTCCAGCGTCTCCTCCTCTTTTTTAAGTTCTTCGTACTCTTTGCAGGCTTTGGTCCACTCAAAAAGTGTGGAACGTATTTGAAACTCATGCTCAACCCATCCTGCATCGCCATCACCACTACGTTGTGGACGCGATTTGAGTAGTTTTGCATGAGTTTCTTTAAAGTTCTTTATTTTAGTGGATAGCTCCGAAATGCGCGTCTGATTGTCAATGACAGCACGTTGCGCCTCAGCAAGCAATGTCAAGTGTTGCACTTGTTTTTCTTTTACCGACTTCTCCTGTAGCTTTATAATCCATTCGAGTGCGCGGCCCAAGGAGATAGGATCATCGTTGGCGTAGTTGAAGTCCAGTTGGTGTGAAAGATAACTGGCGGACTCGAGCAGCCGATTGAATTCCCGTTCCACCATGTCGTCCTTGTGTTTGGGCACTGGTTTGCCACAAGCGCCATATAATGGGCATGCTTGCCTTATGGGCACCATTTCCATGCCAATCTGTTTGCTCAGTATAGTCATGGGATTACCCCAAACGCCGGTCACAACCATAGCACCCAAATCGGCAATGTAGTTGTTTTTACGAAAAGTAGCTATGCGTCCACCCACACGATCACGCGCTTCCAATACAATTACGTCCATACCGAACTGTTGTAGCTGCTGCGCAGCTGCCAACCCTGAGATGCCTGCACCAATTACAATAACTTTACCCAATTTTTTTGTCGGTATGGGACGTAAACGTTTAAATATGCCGAAATTTATGAAACCATGACGCTCCAGGAACGAGTGTATACGCTTTACTAAATTTGGATCACTATCAAAGGGTTGTTCCATATCTTTGATGGCATTTTCTACAATAAGCTGTTGCTTTGGATTCTCAATCCACATTTGCAAAAGCCGATTGCGTATATTGAGGAAAACACGTTGCGCCACCAAACCAGTTTTGGTGATATCGGGAAAACAGGCAGCTTCATTGGAGGTCATCTTATCGAATGGTAGACGTGACTGAAAAGCAGCACCTTCCAGACCAGTCAGAATTTCTTTATACGCTTCGGCAGCAGCTGCAGCCGCCTCACGCGGATCAGTAATCTCTTTGGGAAAGGGACTACGTGCCGTTTCCGATTTGCGTGTTTTACTGCTCTCAGAACGTCGTTCAGTGGCAGCACCGCCAGCTGCTGACGAACTTGATGGTGTACTCGGTTTGTCACCTGAATCCGCATTGCCACTACCCGGTTTGTTGTAGTAATCAACCTGCAATTGAAATACTTTCTTGAACCTACACATTGTAATACTTTGTAATGTTAAGCCATAATTGTATTACGTGCTCGCGTGTGTGTGCGCACGACTGTCACTTTACAAAGCCACAAAGATCTTACAGCAATCACTTCATTACAATACCTTGGGTTTATTCCGTCTGCTGGTGCGACGTTCATCACCCGCAGCACCACCTTGTGCATCATTGGAGTCATCATCGTATTTGATTTTATTGGGCGTTCCACTAGCGGGTACTTTGCGTTTTGGTGACATTTCCTCCACGTCCGAATCATCGCTTATCAGCGTTACACATTCAATTGTCTCCGTATTTGTGCCCAAGCTGCTACTACTTGTAGCCGTTGTTGTTGTACTGCTATTTGTATTTGTATTATTGCTATTATTATTGTTATTGCTACTAGCGCTATTGTTGTTAGTGTTTTTCGTTAACAGCTGCTGTTGTTGTAGGAAGACGCTGCCGGTGCCAGCGACACTGCTCCCGCTCATTACAGCTGCTGCGGCTGCCGCCGTTACTGCCGTAGTAGTTGTGGCTGCTCCTAATGTTTGTGTGGGCAGCGAAGACACGCCGGTGCTGACTACATTGTTTTTCTCCATTATACACGTTACGCTCACTATATTTTATCAATGCACACTGTTTTTATATCTTTTACGCATGTTTTTAACACTTTTCTAAATTTGCTAAAACCTTTTTTCACAAGTTTTTGCTAAAATAAATCCTGCGAAGTTTTGTTTATGTCTCGTACGCCGCCGTACACAGATTTGCAAATAAAAGTATTTGATTGCATTTAAAATGAATGAAAAGCAAACCCTAAAAATTTTTGTTTTTGGTGTGTGACCTGGCTAAATGTGGTTATGCGCTCAGTGCACTCTGTAGTGTAAATATAAAAATAGCTAAAGTTAAGAAATTTTATATTGCGTTTTTAGTGAAAAAACATAGATGGCGCTAGTAAGATTTTTAATAAAAATTCTAAGCAGATTAGAGGGATTAGAGGTAAAATAAATTTATTGTCGACCACATTTTTAAATTTCTTTGCCAGTCATAGTAAAAAGATAATAAAAATCTAAAATGAAAAAGAATAAAAATAAAAAAAAAAAATAAAAAAAATATATGTATCCCCCTGCCTCGCGCTTTGACAGAAATATATTTAAATTTATTCCTTAAATTTGAGCAAACATAAATTCTAAGCAAGCAGTGAGCGTGCGCCACCCCCCATGGCGCTCCTGAAGTGTGATCGCATTGCTAATAGGATCTACGAAATATATACATCTATACATATGCATGTGCAGCACAGGCTTAGCGTTCCAACGGTGGTGGCATTAGCAACAATAAAGCAGCTTCAAGGTCAATAGATAGTTCGTAGCCTGTTCTGCAATATCACTTCCTGCCGCGTTGCCAAATTGAAAATTCACCCAATTAAGTGCGAGCATTTATCATTCGGCTGGCACACACTCGCATACACACAGCAGATCAGTGGGAATTAGTGGTGTGTGTGCGTGGTTTTATGTCACTTTGTCTACATAAGCCGAGTGCCGTTTTGTGGCCTACCCTTGCGATCCTTTTCCTGCTTTTCAATGCTTTCATTTTAAACTTCAAAATCAATATTGTGTCAATTTATTGGTTTTTAAATAATTTTGAATTAATGCAACGGTTATTGTGCAATTTATGGATTTAAGCGCATAATGCTTGGTTAAGCTTGTTAAGATTGTAATTGATTGGAATTGGCTGAAGAATTAGAAGACAATAGAGAGAGTTTTTATTATTATAAATGGATGTACATATGCGTGAGTTAAAAAAAAAAAAAAACATTTAGAGAAACAATCATAAACATTTAATAAGGAATAAATTCGATTAAAGACAAAATTAGGCAATATTAAAAGGGTTGAAGCAAAACCACGGAGAATCAGGCTTAAAATCTAGGGAAACTCAATTTTCATGTTTGATCTGTAGCTGAAATGTTGCCTAAAATCAGACGCATAAAACAAAAATTAACTAAATACATATTCCCATACTCCCTATATAATCCCTAGAGGTATAATAAGTTAGATTGGTAAACAAGGTATGCGCCACCACCTTAGGTCTATTGTGCTCTCCTAGATCACCAAGACTCTCCTAGCCCCAGCATATTGGTAAAGTCCAGCGAGGCGAGGTGATCCCTATTTCGAAACCTGAAACCTGAAAACTTGCGTCTGCAGACTGCCACAGTGGTGTCCTGGTTTTTACGCCTCCTGTCCCAGAATCGGCAATTTAGCTAGGCTCATCTTGAATGAATGCTATTCAGCTTGTCGTGCCCAGTGCAGAAAGCGATATGTTGTCTGAATGTGTCCATCGGGAGGTTAATTACAAACTTGGCTTGTCACATGCCTTGGAATTGTTGTCAATATCGCACTCTGCCTACTCCTTCTTCCTTGCGGATCAGCCCCGTTATGGTATGGGGACCTACTACGACAAAGGGTTTGGGTCCTATCATGTTCATGGATGCTGCGGAGTGGGCAAGCTCATTAGCCAGTTTATTCTCGGCTATACCTTTGTGACGGGGCACCCAAATGAGGTGCTCTTGGTTACGTTCCGTTAGGCCGTTCAGCCGTTCTCTACACTCCTGCACCAGTAGCGATTTGATCTCATCGGCATGTGCCGCTTGACTATCGCTAAGAATGGTTATACGTTGGTTGCGATAGTTATGTTGGTGGTTTATCTTTATGCACCGATTTATCGCAAACGTTTCTACCTGAAAATACTCGGAAAACTTCCCATACGCATGGAGAGTTTGGTGCCCTTGCATCGATTCCCTCCGACGTTTTCGAGCCATCAGTGTAACACTTGATTGTACTGCCATTTGTAGCAGTGTGTTTTTGGCTACTTGACTGATTACTACGTGAATTGGTGTGAACTCAAGTATGACTTCTGGTGCTGCCGGACAAGTGCGCATTACACTTGACATGAAGATGCATGCAAGTCGTTGCAGCATCGATAGTTGGATCCCTACCAAAGTCTGCGAAGTTTTTGAAGCCCAAGTTAGGTGTACAAGCACCTAACGATCCTTGGCTGGCAGCCCCAAAATTCCCAAAATTCTACTATGTGCTAGTGATATGTTTTAACTGACAGATGGTTGCTAACCAGACATTGAAAACACAGCGCTAAATCAACGAAGATTCAAATGTAAAATAATATGGCACAATAAATTTTTGATTCACTTTTTAATGAAATCAAAGCACTAGTGCACATGCGCAGCAGCGCCGACACACAATGCGCAATTTGCATATCTTTGACAAAATGAAAGGCAAATAACAATGCTTACAAATAAAAATGAAAAAGTAAACATTGGAACGCGAGGGCTTTTTAAATCGAAATCACTATCTCCAACAACAATAACAACAACAAGAAAACATAACACCACCAGTGAGTGATATGCGCTAGCAATGCATCAAACGCTGAGACCGATTGGGTGCTTCGAAATAGTGCTAACACAAAGCATCCCAGTTGCTATAGACATACATATGTACATAAATAAAGATATATCAAAAGCTATTTAACGCAGGATTGTGTTGCGCAAGTCGCGCTGATCAAAGGGTGCGCACACTCGCTTTGCGGAAATTTGAGACAGTCATCTGCACACTGAAAAAAGAAAGAAACAAAAAAAAAAAGGGAATAAAAGTCGCAAGTATACACATACATACGTGTGATTGTGTGCAACACATGCAACATTCGTCTAACAAAAACATTAACACTCAAAAATACAATAAAAGCAATTATTGCCACTACGCCTTCCAAGCCGCACCATGCATTTGGTATTTTGAACTGTATGTGTGTGCCTACATCTGCACTACAATCCTTGCTTGGCGCAACAAAAGCCGAAATGATCACGTATCCTTGATAAATTTCCTAACAGTCATCCGGGAGCGGCATAGAAATCTATTGTTGGCTGGGTCCTTGAAAACTGCGAATTCATCAAAAGCTGATGCTTGCTTGCCAAGGTTGCTTAACTACAGCGCTAATTTTTCGGAAATCGTTGTGTAATTTGAAATTAGTGCGCTGTTTGTGGCATATGGTGGTGTTGTTCTTAATGTTGTTGCTTTCGCTGCTGCTTACATGTGTTGTTGTTAGAGTTGCGAGTGCCAAAGGGTGCTGATTGGCAACAGAAACGTCAGCGTTTGATTGCTAGTGAAATGGGTTATGTTGCTGCAGGAACGCTGTGGCAGCAACCAATCGAGCAACTGCATTTATTTCGACTGCCAAAACGCCAGTGGCGGTTTTTATACACGTAGAAATCAAATTTCAGTTCTTCATTTATATTTATGATTTACTTATTTATGTATGTTAATGCTTGCAGTTGCTTTAATAAATCTAAAACGTAAAAAACAAAGCTTTCAGTATCATAATCTCAAAAAGTTAATATTTTTACCGAATATATGTATTTAGCTGGAAAATATTATTCCAGTACCAAAATTGAAAAACCGACCCTTCTCACCCACTAAAACCACAGCGACCATATTTAGAAACTGGACGAAAAAGTACCAGTGTGGAAACTTCGCGCTGCTTCCTTTAGCGGTTTAAAATTGACTTTGTCAGTAGAATGTCTAGTTGCATTGCAACCGGGTGTCGGACCCAAAGCACGGCAGAGGTTTTAGATGGACGTCGAATCCGACCAAGGTGGTTAGTATGTCCATTCCACACTGCCAATTGGYGCTGAAAATGTTTAGCATTCTCATAGCGCTGATCAACGCATGGATWTGATCCGCTGWGCTTTTGAGCGYSGTGSGGTAAKGCTRTCGTCAGCAGGTACCCACGTTAAACACACCGGACGTTGAGCGGTTTAAACTCCTACTTACCCGRAAGCGACCCCGATATACCAAATATATGTCMAGCATGCAAYGAGCATGGCTTTAACCACCTCTTATCTAGTCGCTGGAGAAGAGACGCAGTGAGCTTTTTTACGCATGGATCGCAGCAACCTCAAGGGGACGGTTGGAGGGGGAGTCTGCTATCAAGAGCGACAGTCTCATAGATCCGCACTTAGGTGTTCTGAGCATCACAATAGACAAGTGTCTCCAGCAGTGCTATATAGCAAGACCTTTAGATCCATGTTTCCAAATAGGGATCACATCGCCTCTATGGCACCCAGCAGTATAWTGGAATTTATCAATATGCTGGGGCTTGTTGGTCATTGTGTCTTAGGAGAGGGTTCAATAGACCTTAGGTTATCTTAGCTTAACAGATGAGCCCAGCGATGAAARAAAATATACAAAGATAAAGAAATGTGACAAAAAGTGCCGTTCTCAGGACACAGAATGTGATAGCAATGGAACCAATAATTATATATTTGAAATAATGGATAAATTGTGAAGACGTTGCAGTAAGCCGAGCCTTCTCACGATACTTTCAAATACATTGTACTCAATTGATTTTCAATAACATGAAAATTCAATAAAGGCAGCTTGCGCTCTGAAGACATCGTACCACAAAGCTTCACAAGGCAATATGGCATAATTTATGCGCCTCACTTAATCTCCCACTTTCATTTACAACTATAAACTTATTATTCAAATTATGAAGCATAAGTAGAACGTAATAATCGAAAGTTGAAATGTGCATTGAGGCGCACATTTGACGAGCTGAAGTGGTGCTTGTGAACAATTATTGGATTTGCGCTCGCATAACTTTTACATAACTTGGAGTTTTTGGTTTTTTCCCTTTGCTTGGAAAGCACACAAGCAAATATTTTGAAACTCCATTGTGTGGCAGCAGAAAAT